ATACTCCTCGCCGTGTTTCGTTTGATTAGAGCTAACCCCACTACTCACTGCTGTAAACAAAGCAAATTCTTGTTCTAAATTATGACTGGTCAATAGTCCGATTAACAACCAATAGCTAGCTGCGTAACAATACCAAACAGAGCTCCAAATTGGACCAAATATGTTTACATAACGTTACGTTAATGCCCAATTAACCAGTGCATAGCAGAATATTGCAGAAAAACTAATTGTGTGACAAACAAGGCTATCAACTGTGAACACGATTTTTACTCTGTGGATATAATGTAAAGAATATTGTTTTGAGACAAACAACACTTTCACAGTTTTTAATACCTTAAATCACTGTCCAAAGTTTTAGGGAAGACCCCTGATTAAACGTAGGGCTGCCATGTTGCTTTGCTTTTGGATAGATTTGATTGAACCTAAAGAATAGACACACTCCCTCAAAAGCGCAAGTATCAGAAGCTAACCCAGCAATGGCCAAAGAGGGATTTCTCGGGCCATTGCTTCAGGAATATAAAGTGTCTAGTGTATAGGGTGAACAGTACCAACCCCAATACAGATCCTTGGGGAACTCCACAGATTAAATCAACAGGAGTAGAGACACAATCGTGAACTGCAACACTTTGACTTCTGTCTGTTAAATATGACCAGAACCAATTCAATGCGTTACCAGCAAGTCCATAGTCATCTTTCAGCCTCGAAAGAAGATTATTGTGGTTGATGGTATCAAATGCTGCACACAAATCAAGTAGTACCAAAAGAGCAATATTGGCACTGTCAATACCAGTATCGGACACACGAAGATGAGCAAATTATGAAAAATGGAATAGCCGATAATTAGACTGATAAGGCTCGAAAAGATTATGTAGTGACAGATGTTCTGAAAGACGAGGACAAACTGGACGTTCTATAACTTTGGAAATAATTGGAAGGTTTGATAATGGGCGGTAGTTCTTTAACTCCTCAGAATTAAGACTTGGTTTCTTCAGCAAGGGTTTGACGAGAGCTGTTTTGAATATTATTGGCATTCTCGCTTCAGTTATACTTAGGTTAACTAATCAGGGGCGGATCTAGGAATTTTGTAAAGGGGGGCGGCGCAAAATGAGGGCTATGGGCACGCCGCTGACAGGGGATTTGTTTTTGTGGGGGGGGGGGCAAGAAAATTATCCGTCATTTCCTTGCATCGGTAGCCATTCCAAGAGCTATTTGGCTGATATTTTCGTCTAAGTAAACGTTCGGAAATCGTTGAAAAAGAGTCTTAAAATCGAGCAAAAAAGCCAGTTGAACATCCGACTCGAAAATTGTCACGGCGAGCGAGGCATTATGATGGGAAAAAAGACGAATCTATTCTCTAGCCACTTAGTTTAAAAAATATTTTATTCGTTTGAAAAGGATTGAACAACAGGCAAAGCCTATATAAGTTCTTTCCCAGGGATACAGAAAATAATAAACGATAAATATGACATATACATAAAAATAAAATTAAATATAATAAATAGTAAAACCGAACATATATACAGTTTCATGTGGAAATGATGTATACGATGCAATTTTTTGATATTATACAACAATATTATGTAAAAGCGAATCAAAACCTTTGAGTACTTTTAATAAAATAATGGACTGCTTCAAAAATCAAGATATTGGAGGTGTTCGAAAGATTTGTAGAGCCATTTAAAATTAGATCTAGATTAATAGTTTCTGTGAATACATTTAATGAATTGAATAGTTCGATTCTGATAGCTGAATAAGATGGACAAGAGAAGAAAAAGTGGAAATTATCTTCATCCGAAGAATTGCATTTTGGACATTTTTTTGATTCAGATAGGTAGTGGTGGAAAAGATGATTATTGAGATTACTAGATTTATTTCTTAACTGACAGTGAATGATATTTTCCTTACGGTTTCCATAATGAAAGTAACTAGGTTTTTTATGTATAGGATACTGACTCAGGAGACTAGACTTAAAAGTATTGAGAGACGGTGATAACTGCACATGCGTAGGAAGACTATTCCATAGTTTTATTGTGTTTGGGAAAAAACTTTTTATATAAGAAGACGTTTTACATTGTGGTATTTTCAATTTATGGTTTCTAAGATTGTAATAATTTGTTTCGGGTTGTATTTCCATTAGAATATCGGATAGATACTATGGGGACTATAGCAATTAAGGATTTTATAAAAATAGACGAGTTTATGCTTTTGACGGCGTTTGAACAGTGATTCCCACCCTAATTCGTCATAAACATGTTTTCTGTGGGAATTTCGGCGCAGACCAGTTATGATTCTCCCTGCTTCTAGTTGGATATTCTCAAGTAATTCCGAATCTTTAATACTACAATTATCCCATATACAATCCCCATACTCCAAAAGAGGACGTATAAATGACGTAAATATCGTACATAACGTAGATCTGTTTAATTTAAATTTTAATTGGCGTATTATGTTGAGTCTATTGCAAGCTTTTTTGTGAATTTTAGAAATATGTTCTGACCATGTTCCGTTTAGATGAAATGTTAGTCCCAGGTGGCAGTGTGAGGAAACTTTATCAATAATTTTGTTTTCAAACATAAGATTAGGATGATTAGTTTTTTTACGTGTGAATATTAAGTTTTTAGTTTTATTTGGGTTAAATTTTATTTGCCATTTATTTGCCCACGTTGATATTAGCCTCAGATCACTATTGATTGAATTGGCAGATTCTAAAGGGTTACCATTAATAATTGCAAATAAGGACGTATCGTCAGCAAATAATCGTACATTGTTATCTAGATTGTCTGAGATATCATTTATGTATATTAAGAATAGAAACGGACCGAGTATTGATCCCTGGGGAACCCCGGATTCAACTGACAAATAAGGTGATTGAAAACCTTCAAGGACAACACATTGTTTACGATTTGTTAAATAATTGTATATCCCTAGCCACTTCACTATTTAAGCCTTGTAACTTGTACTTTCCATACATGAAACAATGCTACATCAAGTTGCACTCATGCGCGTCGGTGATGGGCATAAGTGTATACGCCGCCGATTCCACAAGATGTCTGTCTATAGTCACTCTATAGGATTAGGGCACCGTCAACTAAACAACAAGAATTCGTTTGATAGTCGAAGCATTAATTTGACCAGACTGGTGTGTTTGAATCGATGGGATCCCTGCAACGGGTTGGGAACGGACATATTTGGGTCTGAGAAAGGGCACTTTCAGCAGTAAAAAAGAGCACTGTCTTTCTCAAATCATTTTACAGAGAAGATACATAGCATCTGAAGACAACTTGACGACATTGGGTTTGTATCATCAAGTACATCCCCCCCCCCCCTCTTAAATTTGTGTAATAACGGGCAGAAAGGGGTCGAGATGATAAAAAATTAGTGGGTTTTGACCTTTTTAGAATAGGCAATACCTCAGCCTCAGTAAGAGTTGCAAACTCAACTAAGGGGGGAGGGAGGAAGGATGTACTTGATGATACAAACCCAATGTCGTCAAGTTGTCTTCAGATGCTATGTATCTTCTCTGTAAAATGATTTGAGAAAGACTCTGCTAGTGCTATCGCTTGATATCCATCAAGATCAGGAAGAGTTGTGTCTTTGTCTGTCTTACCCACAAGTCAAAACATTAATTTATAGAGAGCACTGGATTCCTTCAATAATTTACCTATCTTGGTATTCGTGTAGCTCTGTTTAACTGCTCTGATTTCCTTGACAACACGGGTTCGAGCTTGACGATGACGATGAACCTCCAGAGAGGATATTCTCCATCTTCGTTCAGCTCTACACCTTTCAGATTTAAGCAATCACACATCATTAGTGTACACCCATGGCATATCATGTCTGAACGGAATATTCTTGTTTTTTGCTGGAGCATGATTATACAGGAGAACCCTCAATGTACTATTATAGTTGGGAACAAATTCGTCAAGTGTAGATGGTGGATGATGAAAAAGGTTTGATGTCATTAAATCATGATGGAAAGCCTCACTGTTCGTGCATCTCTGATTTCTGAATTTGATTTCTGTCAACCATTGGATATTTAGAAGGCATGACACCAGAAAGTGGTCCGAGATTTGTAGATCTGACACAGTGACATCTTCCACAGTACTGTCAGCAACATTTGAAACCACCCAATCCAGAATATGACCTTTCTTGTGGGTTGGAGAACTAACATGTTGAATAAGATTGTTTGTGAGTAACTGAGTTTTTAACTTGGCTGTATCAGGATTGTTCTGAACATCAAAATGAAAATTGAAATCACCAAGTATAATTGGTCTGGCTTTTGAAGAAAGAACCTACTAAAAAAAATTGGAAAATTCATCATGAAACATTGCCGTCTTCAATTGATTTTTCTTTGATATAAGTAACTTTTGTTGTTAGAGCGTTTGCAATGTGCAACAAAGTAAAACAAGGGTCATAACTCTAGAAGTAATTGATGTAAATTGCTGAAATTCAAAGTGAAACAAGGGAAATAACTCCAGAAGACATTAACGGAAATGACTGAAATTCAATAGGCCTCTTCGTTTCACTAATTTAAATAATGCATATAAATGTCATACAGATCAGATGATAACTTTTGTCGTTAGAGCTTTTACAAGGTTCAACAAAGTGAAACAGGGCCAAAACTTTAGATGTAATTAACCCAAATTGCTGAAATTCAATAGGCTTCTTTGTTTCACCGAAATTGCTGAAATTTAATAGGCTTCTTTGTTTCACTTATCTAAATTTCACTTATCTAAATGTTTCATACTGATTGGAAGATAACTTTTGTCTTTAAACTGTTCACAAGGTTCAACAAAGTGAAACAAGGACCATAACTCCAGAAGAAATCAACGGAAATTGTTGGAATTAAAGAAGCTTCTTCATCTCAACATATATCAATTTCAAAACAATCCGATAATAAATGTAGTCTGTAGAATGTTCACAAGAAATTGTGGACGACGGACAGACGAGATGGCAATATACGACCACATTTCCATGTTGGTGTATAAAAACCATAAATGTTTTTGGAAATAACATGAATTTATTATTTACGTAAATATTGTACAGCCTATAATAAAATCTTTAGTTTGTTATATTTTAATAATATACAACTTATAGCAGTCCATAGATTTACCAAAAACACCTTTAATACCCAAAACACCCTGTATTTTGAATATAATAACACATTTTAATTGTTTTTTCTTTCTTTTTACATGTATAGATGATTAATATACTCTATTTTTAAAAGGTCTGAAACAAATAATGGAAATAAATAGAAGATCAAAGCAAGAAAGACAACTCTTATTGTTTTGGTAGTAGGTTTGGGTTGTTTCATCCCAAAATTGTTTCATATAATGATAAAACTTCTTTTAGAAATCAAAAAAGTGCATTTAAATTTCATCAGAAACATACAACGAAAAACAAATCTCAAACCTACTATGACAACCATAGAAATATTTCTATGGCGATAACAATAGGAATTGTCTTTCTTGCTCAATTTGATCTTTCATTTACTTGCGGGACTTTTTTTTTATCAGAACTATTAAAAAAATTGGAAAGTTTAGGGAATATTAATTATACATTATGCAAGAGCTTAATCTGCCTATTGCAGGTCTTTCATTAGGCTTGAAATGTTATATAAACTATTAATTAGACATTTATTAAGAAAACAAGACCATAATCAACTCTCGATGGCATTGGGCACTCAATATTTTAACTAAATTAAAGTTCGCCATTTAAAAATTTAATTTAAAAATGGGAAAGCAAGGCTAAGTCTCGAACATACCAGTGCCCTGGTTACCACAATGCACACATCTTGTCAAAACTACAAACAGTGATAACTTGGCTCAGAATGAAGTAATTTGAATGGAATTTTCATTTAACATTATCTATTTTTGAGATATAATAGCAAGAATGGTCAGCGCTTTATCTAACTCTTACATAATGTATCTCTAATCATCTATACATATAAAAAGAAAGGAAAAAACCCCAATAAAAATGTTGTTTTATTCAAAATACAGGGCGTTTTGGGTAATTAAAGGTGTTTTGGATAAATCTATGGACACCTGATTGGCATTGCCTTTATTTGGATAAAATTTACATTCTTACATCAAAACATGTATGGGCAGGGGGAAGGCAATTAAATGTGGATGTGTTCCACGGTAATTAATTGTATGTCTAGACTACACCACTATTTTAAATTGCCCATCTTCTGAAGGCTCTGCAGAATGTAATATATTGTACTTCTCTGTAATTGTGTTCAAACAGGTTCATAGAGGTTTGTTGACAAAGGACATGGGCAACATTAATATTCAACATTACAATTGGGCTTATCAAAATGAGTTATTATATGCTGTAGTTACAAAAAGATTGAAGTGGTTACATGCAAAAATAAAGACAATGAAACATTAACCAGCTACGAAAGGAACCAGGATCTTTGGGATATATTTCAAGTTTCCTCAAAATCGGATAAAAATTGTGACCTCTACATGGTCCACAACTTTGGTATTAAATACTTTTACACTATTTGCATACAGGATTGGCCATTTTTTCAGACAGTGTCGTTCCAATTTTCACAAAATCCGAACTCAACTGTCATTATGGTGTAACGGTGATATATTTAAACCGTATTTTTTAAATTGGATAAAAATTGTCACCTCTAGAGGCACCACAAGCTAAAAACGTACAATCAGGGGTCATAATCCATGAAGTTACAGTCCGATACATGCCAATATCGAAAGGAACCAAGATCTTAGGGTGATAAAACCTATATTTCAAGTTTCATCGAAATAGGATAAAAATTGTGACCTGTAGAGTGTTCACGAACAATTGTGGACGGATGCACGGATAAGGGGCGACGATAATATACGTCCACATGAAAATGTAGGCGTATAAAAATAAAAGTGTTAATTTAATTGTTTGATGTGTGAGTTGCTTTGTGAAGTGAGTTATTTGTACATTTAAAATCTTAGGTCCACAGACACAATTGTACAGCCAATGTTGAAGCCAAACGTGAATCTAAATTTTGACACACAAATTTAATCAAACAAGTCTCTATCTTAACCAAATTAACACATCAAACCAAGCCAATTCTTCACTTTTTTCTGAACAAAATTTAAGACACTTAGCTCATTTAGACTTTGGGTATTACAGTTTGGTCAAATTTTAACCCAGTTGTTGCAGTTTGCAGGTTTTTTTTATTCATTTTATACTATGAAAGTAGTGGTTTGCACATACATGTGTGAAACTAATTTAATACTAGATAAAATGAATAGACAAGGCAACATTGATCCTGATGTCTTCTGCCATAATCCCAAAATATATAAACGATACAAATTAATAAGTTGCACATTCATATTTATATAGAGCATCAAGCTATCAAACTGCTTATCATTTGGCTTAACATGAGCAGAAAATTATGGAACTAAACACCAAGTTTCATCACTATCACTCAATCGGAATCAAAGTTATAATATAATGTCCCAAAGTATCAACGAACAACTCAAATTGTTTGCGGTCTTAAAAAAGATGTTTGACAGACCCGGGGGGGGGGGGGAGGGGGGGGGGGCTTATATGCTACCACATGTAACAACATAAAAAATTGATTTCAAGCTAATGATGATTAGTTACATGTCCAAAATTTTCTGTCAATAATGATTATGAAAGTTATTTTCACCTGAATTACATGTACTGCTGACAGATATAAAAACAACTGCAACAGAAGGACTTATAGGCTACCACATATATCCAACAACATAAAAATTTGATTTCAATCTAATGATGATTAGTTATATGTGCCAAATTTTCTATCAATAATGAATATGAAAGTTATTTTCAACTGAATTACATGTACTGCTGTTTTACACATACATTTTATCTCCTGAACTTATATAACTTTGATATACATGTACCAGTAATACAACCAAAACTATGTTTATAAGTGGTAGGACATATATGCCTATGTGCACATTTACATACTAGGAATACACATGTGTATGAGTCAGTATGACATCAACTGATTTTCCCCACTGCCCACTGTCTATACATGAAAATAGTTGGAAAGTGATGAATAGTATGTTACAGATAAAATAATAATGTAAATGTACACAAAATTGTAAATGTATGTATCACATACATGAATATCTCCACAATTAATTACATTATTCATAATACACATAGTTCACTCACAGTACAATCATTTCTTGAAATAATGAACTATTGAAAAAAAAGACAAAGTCCAAATATTTGATAAATAAATGTTAAATATACATAATAATATAATATAAAGTTTTATTCTTCAACTCCGTGTATCTGGTTTAACATTCATCACTTTACAGACCCAACTTCCAATTTCAATATCTGAATTTTCATATTTCTTGAAGAAAGAATGATTGATAAGTGACTGCAAATCTGCTCGATCTGATGGATTTTTCTTAAGACATCTATCTACAAAGTCTACAAAATCATCAGAGAACTTTGCTTTAGGCAGAGTTGGAGGAGGCTCATTGACTATATAATCTAAAAGTTCAAAAATGGCCATAGGACGTGGCCCTTCAGCACCCGCCATTCCTATAAAGCTGCTCCTCGAACTGGCAATCGAAGTCCCCCTATCTGAAGGACTAGCATCTTTTCCATTATCATCAAATAAGCTCTCTAAATCTTTAGGTTCAGGAGGTGGAATGGGATATCTGCCAATGGCCATTTCAACAAGAGAGAGACCAAGACTCCAGACATCTGATTGTACAGAATAGTGTGTACCTTGAAGTCTTTCTGGTGCCATATAAGATCTAGTTCCGACAAACGAATTTGCCATTGAGTCTATCAACTGTCCACTGACACCAAAGTCGCAGATTTTAATCTCTCCTTGAGAATTGACAAGAATATTTGATGGCTTGACATCTCTGTGAATGATTTGATGTTTTTCTCTTAAGTAACATAAGCCTTTTAGAACAGCAATGTTAATTACACCTAAAATGGACTCTGGAATCCTTCCTGCATTTTTTAATATCAAATCCAGTGAACCTCCATCCATGTATTCCATACAGATGCTGATTTCTCCATCACTGTAGAAATGGCCGTAGAATCCTACAATATATGGTGAGTTACATTCATGTAAAACTTTCAGCTCTCGGAAGATCTGGTTTCTGACAACTGGTTTGATTTCCAGGTGGATGAGCTTTCTTGCCATAATAATACCCGATGGTTTGTGGAGAACTTTTGTGACAACGCCACCATTTCCTGCTCCAAGTTCCTCACATTTTATTATGTCTTCTTCGGTTAATTCACCAACTTTCTGTTTTAACGAGAGGAACTGTTCAAGCCTTTCTCGTTGCTGTTCGTCAATATCCTGGCTTCTGATATTTTGATGCAGCGCCTCCATATTTGTGCTGCCACCATTCTCTTTATCACCACCTTCAGACGGTTCCGATACCGAAATCGTTAACTTAAGCTTGTTTTTCCCCATATCTAAATGTGGTGCCAAGTGTGTAACTGTTGTAATCTACCTAGCCTGTGTCATAGGCACCTAGTAAGAACCAGGAAATTGAGAGTGAAAAATGATTATAACACTAACAGTACAAATTGACACACTTGCTCAATGGCTGAGTGTGACCAAGGGGGAATAACTCTATTTTACCCACAACTTCCGTTTGAGGCGTGTTCAATAAGTCTTATCTGGGCTATTTATTGATTTATTTTCCCTCAATAATGTCAACATTTTGTTTCAGACTCTTGTTCCAAAAGCTGCAAAATGTTTAAGAAGCTGCTGAACAGAAAAGACCCAAGTCAGGTGTGCTAATGTACCTATTTGTATTTCTTGTAAATAGAAATCATAACACAGCCGATACCCTTTTGATCAGTTAGCGTTTTATGGCTAGGCCAGGACTAGTTTAACAAACTCAATATCATCCAAAATCTTCAACATTGAAAACACGATTTATTTGTCAAATTAAATCAACATTCATGTTGTGATCTTACCGGAAAAAGATGGGCTTTTGATATCCAAAATTTAAGCCAAAATAAACATTTTACCATTGGTACACGAATCGTGTACCATAGGCATAATGCGCTTCAGCCCCAGTTGTATCAAGAGACTCGAGGGACGCGGCTAGACACATTGCACCAAATCAAACCGCACATGTAGACTGGAATAACCAGACGCTAGAAATTTGCACTCGCTTGGGACTGCTGGTTTATTTCGCCGAACATAACTGATTTGAAATTGGAGTAAAACGGAAACCATTGAATGTAAATCAGTTTATATACATTCATATTACAGTATTATATGCGTTGCGACCCACTTTTGCCAATTTCTAGGTCCCAAATGTTAGCGATTTAGCTCCTTTAAGTTTATAATATACAAAATAACGAATGCCATTGCCAGCCAAGTTAATTCGTCCACAAGATACTTAAGGCAGTTAAGGTCTACTGTTTGAACCATCGGAAATTTTAAACAGATTTCTTCACTTATGAACAAACTACTAAACTTACCTGTGTGTTTGAAATTACCTCCCGTTAAATAAAATCCTTTGTACAGCTTAATATCCCAGCAAATAAAAAAGTTCTCTCTTGTAAAATTGAACTCCTCACAAACATTGACATTGAGAAATCAAAAATGGAAGCTAATTACGTCACTTATCGGGACAGATCATTTTGTATAAGGGGGTCTCAGCAAGGCTTGTCTATCATAACGATGTTTGGCTCTGTTACGACAATTCAAATTTTGTGTATGAATAAGCTATTGCTCTTGGACCAGTAATGAGTTTGGGCGTTTACAAACATAAATACGCCTGTAGTCCGTTATTTTGTTTCCGTCTTGTATTATTTATTTGGTTAGAGAGTTGGGTAGGATTATTTCTTTTAAACACAGGTGCTGAACAAAAAGAACGACATTCCTTTAATATTTCCTGATGAACTTACACAATCCTGTCAATTAACCTCGGCAATCTGCTGTAGCCGAGGTAAATCCGTAAATGCCGATGTATTTTACATTTGCCTCGGCAAAATTAATAGCTGAGGCCATTGAATCATTGAATAGGTATATAACGTTATTATTTCTTTATTTTATATAAATACTAAAAATTATTATCAACAACAAATTATAGCGCACATCAGTTTAATTATCGGCAGATATAGTTCCATGTCTTTCTATTTCTCTTCGAATATTATTTCCATTGTGCAAAAACTGTTCCGAATTTTGCGTCTCAGTAACACAATTAATTTCCGAAAATCCTGGCTTCGTTTTGAAATTCACAGGGCAATGTATCCATACGATTGTTTTCTCAGTTATTAACTATAGGCCTATATTAATCACAAGTACAACTCTATTTTGAAATAAACAGAGAATGGAATTTTCGAATGGCATTTTGTAGATCGCGATCATGCCTCAGCCAATCAACGTATTGAATTCTATTAACGTAAAAGGTACCATGCCATATGAGTTACTGTATACCACACAGGTGCAGTGAAAATAGTTAAATTTAGCACGAAACTTGCATGAGTTTTTCCCACGGTCTGCATAATTAACACACAAGACCTAATAATACATGCAATCTGCGATACCTCTTTTGACAAGTGATTTTTTGTTTTAAATACATTTTTATAAAGATGATAAATGATGTTTGGACATCCCAAACTGTTCTTATCAACAATGTTTCGATTTCAGTATCTGTCGAATACCCCCCCCCCCCCCAAAAAAAAAAGTAATTTAATCAGGAATATTATGGACGTGAACAGTCGGAACATGAATTAAATATGGAAATTACTGAGAGGCGGTGCCCTTTTTTTTCATAGTTTTTGTGGTAATCATAAAACTTTGAAAATGGAATAATAACTACAGAGCATTGAGATTAGACCCTTTGTTATGAAATGTTATCAATCAAAATTATGAAATAAAGTATGTTTTTTTATAAGTGTTAGCCACAGAGTTGCATATAATTGACAGGGATGTAGGGCCTAATATAATTTATTAAAATATATATAATACACACTAACACAGGGTATTTACAATTATGAGGTGATGATGATGTGAAAAGCAATATTTACGTGTATTCGTGTAATCGGTGATATATTCATTGTGAATAAAAATTTAGTAGACTGACAATCAATTGTTTCCAAATTAATTTTATTGTCTTCAGTTGCCATTTTTGTTGCCAAAACTCAAACGATTGGAAAGGTCGCGCGTGGTTGTGATTGCAGCACATGTGGTTGTCAAAATTTGTCAACCATTTACCCCTTCAACATATTAAAATGGTTTAGCTCATCATGTCACATGTACAATGTTATGATAAACTTAAAAGCAAAATACAAGCAAAAACATTGACTTTTCAAGAGAGATTTTTTTTTTTTCGTTGGGATATTCAATTATGCAATGGATTTTATTCAACCGGAGGTGATTTCAAACACATACGCAAGTTTTTAGTAACAATTATTCAGTAGTTTGTTCACAATCAACGAAATCCGTTTATAATTTACCACGGTTCAGACAGTAGTAAGTTGTCCACAAATGTCAAAACTTGTTGGTTGAGTCGTCCTCACGGCATTGGTGCGCTAATGCACTTTCGTACGGCTATTACTTCCCAATTACATGTCATTTTGGACTCAGAAATATACAGCCTCAAAAAACGTTTTTATACGCCTGTTTGTCCGTCCGTCTGGACGTACCTCCACAATTTGTTTGTGGACACTCTACAGGTCACAATTTTTATCCGATTTCAACGAAACTTGAACTATAGGTTTATCTCCCTATGATCTCGGCTACTTTCAAAATATTTGCATGTATCAGATCAAAACCTCATGGATTATGGCCCCTGATTGTACGAAAAATCACGTTTTTAGCTTGTGGACCATATAGAGGTCACAATTTTGAACCGATTTTGATGAAACTTGACATGCATGTTTATAACCTAAAGATCTTGGCTCCTTTCGAGATTTGTGCCCATCGGAACGTAACTTCCTGAATTATGGCCCCTGATTGTCCGAAAAATCGCCTTTTTATACGCCCACATTTTCATGTGGACGTATATTGTCGTCGGCCCTGTCCGTCCGTCCGTCCACAATTGTTTGTGAACAGTCTACAGGTCACAATTTTTATCCGATTTCAATGAAACTTGAAATATAGGTTTATCACCCTAAGATCTCGGTTCATTTCGATATTGGCACGAAAAATCACGTTTTTAGCTTGTGAACACTGTAGAGGTCACAATTTTTATCCGATTTGGTTTAATTTTGAAATGTATGCTTATAACCCAAAGATCTCAGTTGCTTTCGATATTCGCGCATATCGGACCGTAACTTCCTGAATTATGGCCCCTGATTGTACGAAAAATCGCATTTTTAGCTTGTGGACACTCTAGAGGTCACAATTCTTATCCAATTTTGATGAAACTTAAAATGCATGTTTATAACCCAAAGATCTTTATTCCTTTCTATATTTGCGCATAACTTCACAATTTTTTTTTTGATTTTAAAAACCGTTTAGATCACTATTCCACCATAATGAATGTTGAATTGGAATTTTGGGAAAATCAAAATGAAACTGCCAACAAAATGGCCGCTCTTTGTATGCAAATTGTATATAAGTATGTAATTCAAAGGTTAAGAACCCTCTAGAGGTCACAATTTTTATCCAATTTTGATGAAACTTAAAACATATCTTTATATTCCAAAAATCTCAGTCCCTTTTGATATTTGCACATTTCAGACCATAACTTTCTGGATTATGGCCCCTGATTGTACAAAGTTACAATATTGGAAGGAACCGAGAAATTTGGATTGTTAACAAACAGTTTAATTTTCATCAAAATCAAAATTGTGACCTCTAGAGTGTCCACAAGCTAAAAATATGTTTATATCCCAAAGATCAGGCTTCCTTTTGATATTTGGGTGTATCAGACCCTGTCTGGTTTATGGCCCCCGAGTTTACAAAAAGTCAAGTTTTTAGCTTGTGGATCCTCAAGAGGTAACAATTTTTATCCAATTTATAAAACAACATTTAAATATATCACTTTTACACCAGAATGAGTTCAAAAATCAGACTGAAACTGCCCTACTAAATAGCCACTCCACGTATGCAAATAGCGTAAAAGTATGTACAGGTGTGTGGTCACAATTTTTATCCAATTTTGATGGAGTTTAAAATATATGTTTATATCCCAAATATCTTGTTTCCTTTCGACATTTGTGCATATCGGAGTGTAACTGCCTTGATTATGGCCCCTGATTGTACAAGGTCACAATTTTTAAATATATCACCACCTTTACACCATTACGACTAGTAGAAATATTTGTCTGTTTAATAGATTGTTGGTTATTTCTTTTGGTCATTGCTGCAGATCAAGATTTTTTCTTTATAAAATTCTGTTTTAGTAGTTTGGATCAATTCAGCTACTGAACAAGCAAACAGGTTGATTTTTCATAGAGAACTATTTTATGTGTAAGAATATTTAATTGCTAAATGGATTTTGAGGGGGTGATTTCAAATGCGTGCAAGTTTTTACAAAGCCATAATTAAAAACATGTACCTATGACTTATTATCACATTATTCCCGAGATCTTTTTCTCTATAGTTTACGTTTGTTGTGTATTAAACTGAAGAAAGGAGAACAAAACTTGCT